ACATAAAAATCAAAATTTCTGCAGCCGGCATTGTGGCACAGTGGGTTAACGCCCTGGCCTGAAGAGCTGACATCCCATATGGGCACCAGTTCAAGACCCGGCTGCTCCACTTCCCATCCAGCTCTCCACTATGGCCTGGGAAAGCAGTAGAAGACGGCCCAAGTCCTTGGGCCCATGCACCCACGTTGGAGACCCAGAAGAAGCTCCTGGCTCCTGGCTTCAGATTGGCTCAGCTCCAGTCGTTGCGCCATCTAGGTAGTGAACCATCAGATGGAAGACCTCTCTCTCTCTCTCTCTCTATGCCTCTCATCTCTCTGTGTAACTCTGACACTCAAATAAATAAATAAATCTTAAAAAAAAATCAAAATTTCTGTATAGTACAAAACACCATAAATAAAACTGAAAAAACAACAAAAAAGTGGAAAAGTGTCTACAATATGTATGGCAAATTATTAAATCCTCAATACAAAAACACCACTTACAAATCAATAAAAAAATGAATGACAACACCATAAAACATGAGTTAGTAATTCTTAAAAAGCAGAAAAACAGGAGCCGGCGTGCAGTAGGTTAATCCTCTGCCTGCAGCACCAGCATCCCATATGGGTGCCAATTCTAGTCTCAGCTACTCCTCTTCCAGTCCAGCTCTCTGCTGTGGCCTGGGAAGGCAGTGGAGGATGGCCCAAAGTCCTTGGGCCCCTGTACCTGCGTAGGAGTCCCAGAAGAAGCGCTTGACTCCTGGCTTTGGATCAGCCAAGCTCTAGCTGTTGTCACCATTTGGGGAGTAAACCAACAGAAAGAAGACATTCTCTCTGTTTTTTCCTCTCACTGTCTGTAATTCTACCTTTCAAATAAATAAATTAAAAAAAATTTTTTAAACAGTAGAAAAACAAATTGTTAAAGATAAGTTCATCCACAATTTTTTATCTAGTCATTAGTAGATGAACATCTGGGTTGATCCCATATCTTAGCTACTGTGAGTTGAGCTGCTATTAACATGGGGGTAGTGATATATATGTGCATATATATATGGGGGTAGTGATATACACACACACACACACATACACAATGGAATATTACTCAGCCATAAAAAAGAATGACGTCCTTTCTCAACAAAATGTATGCAGAAAGACTGGCTTATTTGTGCTAACTAATACACAGAGTATAAAAAAGGTAATGTATCTGAGTGAAATTGATGTTTTGCAATTTGATTTTTGTTTATAACCCTTGTCTATACTCTTGAGGAACAGTGTTTTTTCTATTATTTGTTGAATTATTTATTTAGTGAATTATAAATTGAAAAGTATGTCATTGTAAAGATTTTTAAAAAATAAGAAAGGGGCCGGCACCGTGGCTCACTAGGCTAATACTCCTCCTTGCGGCGCCGGCACACCCAGTTCTAGTTCCGGTTGGGGCACCGGATTCTGTCCCGGTTGCCCCTCTTCCAGGCCAGCTCTCTGCTGTGGCCAGGGAGTGCAGTGGAGGATGGCCCAATGCTTGGGCCCTGCACCCCATGGGAGACCAGGATAAGTACCTGGCTCCTGCCATCGGATCAGCGCGGTGCGCTGGCCGCGGCGGCCATTAGAGGGTGAACCAACGGCAAAGGAAGACCTTTCTCTCTGTCTCTCTCTCTCACTGTCCACTCTGCCTGTCCAAAAAAAAAAAAAAAAAAAAAAAGGAAAGAGAAGGGAGGGTGGGAGAGAGGGAGGGAGGAGGCTGAAGGGAAAGTATCATTATGCTCCTAAAACTGTAGATATGAAATACATGAAATATGTCCCATTTATATAAATTTTAAAATTTTTAATTAAAAAAAAGTTCAACCATACCAGAAGTGAATTTTTAAAATAAAAACATATGCTTCCGGGGCTGTTGCCATGGCGCAGTAGGTTAATCCTCCGCCTCCGGTGCCAGCATCCCATATGGGCGCCGGTTCTAGTCCCGGCTGCCCCTCTTCCAATCCAGCTGTGGCCTGTGAAAGCAGTAAAAGATGGCCCAAGTGCTTGGGCCCCTGCACCTACGTGGGAGACAGGGAAGAAGCACCTGGCTCCTGGCTTCGAATCGGCGCAGCTCCGGCCGTTGCGGCCATCTGGGGAGTAAGCCAACGGATAGAAGACCTTTCTCTCTGTCTCTTCCTCTCACTGTCTATAACCCTACCTCTCAACTAACTAAATAAATAAACTTAAAAAAAGTTTTTTAAAAAAAAAAATATGCTTCCTTATCAAGTTAAAAATAAATTTAAAAGACTGACAGTTTGGCAAGAGCATAAGGAAATGAACAGTGTTAAAAATTGCCAGAAACAATGTCACAGCAGCTTGGTTAAATTAGTGGATATCAGGAAATACCATAAACATTCATATATAACCTTGAGTGAAAAATTCATGCAACAAAATGTCATAGATGGTTTAAACATATTAATATACAAGAGATGCCCATCGCTCCTTGGCCTTTTGGCTAATATCAAGTGTAGTATCTGTTCTTATCAGTTTAATATACAAGAGATGCCTGGAAAGCTGTTCACTAAATGGTTAACATTAACCTAAGAATCTAAGCAATGATAGTAAAAATCTGAAATCTGAAATTCTACACTAGTAATACTGTCTAGAAACTTAAAAACATAAACATTATTTTCAAAGCAAAAATACAGTCCATAAAGAATATTTTTTTAAATTCTCATCAAAATTGCTACTTAGCAATATAAATATACATTGTGATATCAAATAAGCTTAAGTATATAACCTTACTTCCCACTAAAATGTATTATATTTGCCAGAAACAATAATTACTATATACAGAACTAGTAAAGTATTCAAACTATATAACCACAAATTTACTATTCTTTGGAAGAAACTGTTCATTGCAAAAAAATACAAAAAGTCACAACATGAACGAGTATTCATTTTATGTTTACAATTACCTTTCTTGAGAACACTTATTAGTGCAGAAAAAATTATACATTTCTGTGAATTTGTAGGCTCAACAGACAGATATATTTTGAAAAGGTTAAGCTATGTTTAGCAAGGTAATCCTCAAGAGATGGATGCTAGAGAATTAAATATTCAGCACTTAAATTAACTTCTTATTTGGTACTTAGGAACAAATTGCCAAGAATTATCATCATCAAATAGAACTCTTATTGACTCTCTTACAAAAGGAAAGTGAGGTCTACTTGAAGAAAAATATTTTTAGAACTGGAAAGAAACCAACATTTTTAACAATTTGCATGAATAATAGAAGCTCTAAGTCCTCAAAATTAAGTGCTTGCCTTGCACAATGTGAATGGAAATGACTGGAAATAGAATAAGCCAGATAAAGAAGGACAAATCCATTATGCTTTTGCTCATATGTAAAATTTAATATATAAGAATATTTTAAAATGTGTGGATGTCATATTATTTGATATACAGGTAGTTATAAATGTTTTCTTCACTGCATTATACCCACCATATAACATGCCCTTCTTTCCTTACTTTATCTCTTGTCATGAATCCCGCTTTCAAGGAAAATAGCAGGAGCCAGCGCTGTGGCGTAGCAGGTAAAGCCACTGCCTGCAGTGCTGGCATCCCATATGGGAACCCATTTGTGTCCCGGCTGCTCCACTTCCAATCCAGCTCTCTGCTATGGCCTGGGAAAGCAGTAGAAGATGGCTCAAGTCTTGGGTCCCTGCACCCGTGTGGAAGACCCAGAAGAAGCTCCTAGCTCCTGACTTCAGATCGGTGCAGCTCCAGACGTGGTAGCCATCTGGGGAGTGAACCAGTGAATGGAAGACCTTTCTCTCTCTACCTCTGCCTCTCTGTAACTATGCCTTTCAAATAAATAATCTTAAACACCGGCATCCCATATGGATGCTGGTTCAAGACCCTGCTGCTCCACTTCCAATCCAGCTCTCTGCTATGACCTGGGAAAGCAGTAGAAGATGGCCCAAGTCCTTGGGCCCCCGCACCCACATGGAAGACCTGGAAGAAGCTTCTGGCTCCTTGCTTCGGATCAGCACAGCTCCAGCCATGTGGCCAGTTGAGTAGTGGACCATTGGATGGAAGACCTCGCTCGCTCTCTCTGCCTCTCCTCTCTGTGTAACTCTGACTTTCAAATAAATAAATCTTTAAAAAAAATCTTAAAAAAAAGAGCATATTGAAAAAAAAGAAAAATAGCATATATGTGTATGTACATATATATTTACATATGAAGTGAATTAAATGTATGTGTATCTGTACATCGTGTTACATATGAAGTGAATGTTAAAATCACTTTAAAAATTGGTTTTAATTTGAAAATTCCTCATATATATTTTTAAAAACTTGCAAAACTGACTTGATAAAAGACTACATGTGTATAAAAGTTATGATGGACAAATCCTAAAAATGTGGTTTCGACTAAATAGAAAATAAACATGAGAATGACCTACTTCTGGGAATTCAAATGAAAACTCACTGTAATTACTAAACACTAGAGAACTAGGTGATTTTAAACCATGGAAGAATACAGAGATGTGCTCCAATTTTTACTAAAAGTCAAGTTTGAGAAAATGAGTTCAGAACAGATCATGAAAAGTATGGGTAAGTTACTAATAATCTTTTGATACCATAGCTCATATATATATATATATGTATATATATATAGAACAATTATAACACTAAAAATGTTGCTAATAAACAATATTGTTAATGTTCTTAAAACATCTGGTATATTACTTTCAGGATTTCTACCACCTCTGCTAAAAGGCAGGAGACTTGACAGCATGGAGTCTCTCACGGAAGTGAAAACAGGTGCTTTGGACAAGGCAGGGCAGGATGATAAAAGTTCACTCTCTTTTTTTCCTTAATTGATTAGTGTATAAAATGGAGACCCCGACCTGGCTGTGTCTGCATTGGGGGAGCAACGGAAGTGTAACAACTGCTCCTCTCTGGTGTCCAAGAAAGAATCAACTCTTGAAAACCAAAACCTCAGATTTTCTTTGACAATTTAAATACAGTGCAAAACAAAATCACCAAGGGAATTCTTACCTATTTCTTTGTTCTTCTTCTGTAAAGTGATCATCTAAGAAAGGAAATCCAAATATTTCCCGTAGCATATCATGGCCTTTCTTGTCAGCGGTGTGATACAGCCGAGAAGCCAGGCGCAAGTCAACAGGCAGCTCCTGAGCTGGGATGGTGGTGCACAGATCATGAAGGTGGGGAGTGCAGTAGTCATGTGGAATTCTGCAACAGAGACATGAAAGGGAGCTTATTTAGTCCTTTTGCAATTGGCAATTTCATTAAGGTTCTAAAGGATATGTAAGTGTAGGAGGTTGTGTTTAAAACTATCATAATGATTTATAACCAATTTAATAACACAATCTCAGGCCATTATCCACAGCTACAAATACATATTCAGTTCCCTGCTAAATATCTCAACCTACATGTTCTACAGACATTCTAGAATCAACAGGGCTAAAAGCAAATCCGTTATCATCCCACCCCTAAACTGCCCTCTCTCCTGATTTCTATAACTAATTCCAGGGAGACCATAGTCATGCATCATGCATTACTCCTTTGCAACTCTGCTCAAGTGCTGCTGATGTCTCTGAAGAACAACACAAATAGTTATATGAGGCACATCATCAGTTAACCAGCTCCAGTGGAACCCTGGGCCTCTCTTAGTAAATGCACCATCTTCCTTCTCACTCTGCTGAAATTAGTCTCTTCTCTGTCTTCCCAAAGTACAGAGGAGGGCATGATGATCTATCTTCTTAATCACCCATGCCACCGGCCATCCACTCAATAAACACTTATTGAACAACTACTATGTGCCAGGCTTTGTGCTAGGTGCTTTACACACATTCTTAACTCCCACGATTTTAGGTATCATTGTCCTTATTTTGGGGTAGGCTCATTCTGGATCAGTTACCAAATCAGGAGTGACTATTGGGATTCAAACAAAACTTTGATGGCTATAAGCCAAATGTCTTTCCTATTAATGTCTATTGACTCCTGAATGGATACACTACTTCATCCCTACTAAAACATACTTTTACATTAAACAAATGACCTTCTTTTCATCAAATCAAATCAACTTTAGATCTTCAGGTCATATTCTCTTATGACATCCAAATCATAGCTTTAATAATGACGACTCTTGAAATCACTCTTTTTCCATGATACTTAAGCCTGCACAACTCTAGCTTTCCATCTACCTCTCACAAGCATCACAATTTGACTTAGTCATTGACTTTTCCTTCTCCAGTTTCTAAACCAGTGTAGCTTCTAGGGTTTGAACTTCTTGTTCAACAGTGCAAATATCAGGAGTTGGCATTTCGCTTTGTGGTCTAAGACACCTGTGTCCCACATCACACTACCTGCTTCCAATTCCCAGCTCTAGCTACTGACTCCAGCTTCCTGCTAATGCAGACCATTGGAGGCAACGGTGATGACTCTTGTAACTGGATTATTGTCACCCACATGGGAGATCTGGATTTTGTCTCAGCTCTTTGCTTCAGTGTCAACCTAACCCCAGCTGTTGTGGGCATTTGAGAAGTTCTCATTAATATTCATTCTCTTTCTCTCTCTAAAAATTTTATTTGTTTTTACAAAAAAAAAAAAAGGAAGTCCTGCTCACCAAGAGCTCCTGTAACTCATCTCAAGTATCACTAATTCTTCTGGACAGATTCCTCGTCTTCAAGATACAAAGCATCTTCGACTTTCTCTCCCTCACCTGTATATCCTGTATATATGAACCACACTCTGTCCCCTGCACAGGGCAGCTCAGCTGTACTCCTTCTCAGCAGACCCAAGTCAAGGTCCACTTCATCTCAGTCTACACAGGCAAGTGTTTGCCAGTGGGACTGAACACGGCACCCTCTGCATCTTCCCCTCTGCAAAATCCTAAAGGATGGATTTTCTTTAAGTACTCCTTTACCTAGCACAATGGCTCTTTGTTACTGCATCTCACTAATCCTTTCTCTAGGCTCATAGCATCTGGCTTTAATTCCAGAATAGTGGTTAAGACTATCGATTCTGGAGTGAGATACCCTGGATTCAAATCCTTGGTTACAAACAAGCCAATTCATTTCTCTATACCGTGGTAAGTTTTGAAACACAATATTAATGCATCCTGCACAAATTTGCTTTAGGAAAGAAGAGTGCGTGCATTTAGAAGAGTGTCTCTCACATGGCAGAGGTGCCTCCAACATCACATCCCAGGACAAATCACAAGGCTAGACCTGTTAGTTCCTATGGTTAAAGATACAAAGGATTCCACCCTGTAGTCTACAACTAAACATCCTTCAAAGAATAGCTCAAGGACAGACTTCACTATAATGTTTACCTTTTCTTTTTTTCCTTTTCCTTCCCCTTTTTGAGAAACGTCTCGGGCCGGCGCCATGGCTCACTAGGCTAATCCTCCGCCTAGCGGCGCCGGCACACCGGGTTCTAGTCCCGGTCGGGGCGCCGGATTCTGTCCCGGTTGCCCCTCTTCCAGGCCAGCCCTCTGCTGTGGCCAGGGAGTGCAGTGGAGGATGGCCCAGGTGCTTGGGCCCTGCACCCCATGGGAGACCAGGAAAAGCACCTGGCTCCTGGCTCCTGCCATCGGATCAGCGCGGTGCGCCGGCCGCAGCGCGCCGGCCGCGGCGGCCATTGGAGGGTGAACCAACGGCAAAGGAAGACCTTTCTCTCTGTCTCTCTCTCTCACTGTCCACTCTGCCTGTGGAAAAAAAAAAAGAAACGTCTCTTCATATATTGCCCTAGCCTTGTGCTACCCATTTTGACCTTTTGTCTAGTCAATGATGGTATGTCCATTGACTGTTCTGTGTGTTTGAGACTGCTTTGGAAATTAGCAAAGTGTAAAGAATATAGACTTTTGGGGCTGGCACAATAGTATAGTAGGCTAAACCTCTGCATGCAACACAGGCATCCCATATGGGCATCAGTTCATTTCCCGGCTGTTCTTCTTCTGATCCAGCTCTCTGCTAATGGCCTGGGAAAGCAGTAGAAGATGGCCCAAGTACTTGGACCCCCACACTCATATAAGAGACCCAGAAGCTCCTGGCTCCTGGCTTCGGATCAGCCCAGCTCTGGCTGTTGCAGCCATTTGGGGAGTGAACCAGCGGATGGAAGATCTTTCTCTCTGTATCTCCCTCTCTCTGTAACTCTGTCTCTCAAATAAATAAATTCTTATTTAAAGAAAATAATATAGACTTTAGAGTTGGCTGGGCCTGGATCAGAATACTGGTTTGGACACTTATCTACGTTGTTAACTGGCTTTGCTGAAAGTCTTCAGAAAACTTAAAATAAAAATCCCTAATTCTTAACTTTCTCATAACTGATAAAAATAACAGATATATCATTCCCAGTCTATGGGAGTCTTTCAAGAAATGCTTGTTTTGCTTCTACTGCTATTATTAATTTGTACCACACAACAACTAATCCATTGCTAAACATAGTATATATATCATTGAATTAGTAATAGAAAATGGTTTATGGAATTTACAAAATAGCCTATGGTCCAGCATGAAAAGGACAACAGAATGTGTACATGTCCATGTGAGAAAAGAAAAGAAAATTTAAAGCATTTGGAAATATCTGAGACAAAGAGACCTAACTAAAGGAGTAAAAGGGTGTATCCAGGAACCCAGGGCAACAGGCACTCTGGGTTCCTAAAAAAGGTCTGAAAAATAAGAGGTGATAAAAAGTGAGCTCTGATGTCAAGCTCACCCACACCACCATTCTGCCCGGGACAGGCCCTGGCTAGTGGAATGTGCCTGAGATTACCTTACTGATTTTTTTTTTTTTCTGAAGAAAGCATCACGGCCAATCTGAATTCCTATGCTACCATTAGAGTCTTAACAACATAGATCAGCAAGTAAATCTCCCTGGGTTATTGAGATAAATAACATTATGCTGCAATACATGGATGAATTCCCAAGAAAACAGTTTAAGTTGAGTGTTAGTCACCAGTGAGAAGAGTTAGGTTAAAAAAAAAATGTTGAAAGAGGGAGAAGAAAAGCTTCAAGGAAAAGATTTCTAGAAACAGTTTTCCTGATTGTCTTTTATTAAATAAATTCTAAAATATCAAATTTTGATTCCTCTTATTTCTAATAGAAATTTCTAATTTTCAGTTAATGAATTAGAACATCACTATAAATATCAGTAAGATCTACAAATATTTTTGGCATGCTCAGGAAAGGCTGTGTGTTTTTATAGCACTCTCTTCTTAAACAGGACTATTTGTCATTCTTTGAAACACTAAGACATAAAAAAGAAAAGACTCAGGCTCTGTGTGTGGCCATGCTACTTTGCTTAATGCACTAAATGCAAGGTTTTTTGAAAAAAAAAATCAAGACGTTTCTGCTTCATTGATAATCTGACAGTAACTATTTATTGAAGGTAAAATACTTGTTGTCTGCTGTCACTATTTGTTTTAATACATAATCTCACTAACTAAATGAGCTTAAAGCAATGCAGATAAGCAATGGCATGTACAGGGTCACTTAAATGCCAATTTGACTGTTTCATAAACTTTGGAATTCTTTTCCCATGAGTCTATTCTCAGCTACTAAATTGTGAGTAATATCCATTTACAAAGTTTAGGCTGGCCATAAAAAAGGTTGTCTTCCATGTCCAGCACACCTTTCAGTGCCCTAAGCAACAACAAAAGCTAATAATTAAAGCTTCTTTAAACTCCTATAAAGAGTTAAACGAAGAATGATCTAGAATAAACCAACCCATAAAAACCTAGTGATGAAATGGGGAGAAAACTAGAATTTCAACAAGGCAAATAGTGAAAGGTAAACCATAATCTAAATTGCATTTACATGCTATCATTCAAAATGTGGTTGTATGTGTAATCCTGGGTAATAAGAAAACCCCATTAAAAATATGAGTTGGGAGGTGGTGAAAGATGAAACATTAGGGTAGAAAAATAGAGAGCCACCTAAATTATCAAATTGATTGACCTGTGGACATTTTGGTATCTTTTATCATAACAATATCTCCACAATATCATAACAAAATTAACCAATGTGATCGGTTAATCCAAATCAGGAATTGCAGTAACCAAAAATTTCATATTAATTTTCTTTAGCCTCAAAAAGAACTACTTTCATTCCATTTACTGGTACATCATTCAAGTAAGTGCACTGGTCAAAAAGGGAATAGAAGAAATCACAGAGAACAGCGTATACATCCAGACTATGAAACATGCCTCCAACTTTTCCTCCGAGCTGCTTTATCTTGGATCTCATATATGAATTTCTAAAACATTCAGTTTTCCTTTTAGAAAGCACATTTTCATGTACAAATGCTACCAAATAATTTCACTTCACATAGTAAAATTTGTAAGCTTAAGGAATTTACTTTTTAGGTAGGTTTTGAGCCCGAAGGAATTTTAAAGATTTTCCTGGTCTCAGTGGTGGAATTCCTAAATTACTTTTTCGCATTCGCTTAACTCCTTTCCCTGTGATATGCAATAATTTTGATGATTTCTCCTGCAAAAAAGATATATATAAAGTGTGCTGTTAAGGGAATCTATAACATTCGAGTTAGGTCTGTCTCATATTTAATAACCCATCTCATATTTAAACCCCTGATTTCTATATATGTAACAGCATAAATCCTAAAGATGAGTTCTTTCCCTCTAAATCCATTTCTATATTTTTGCATATAAACCTTCACAGCAATAAAAGTGCTAGCACCATACTTATTTATAATATTTTTCATTTATTACTTTGAAATATTGAAGAAGAAATAAGTCTTTCCCTCCATAAATCTATTTAGTTGATATTTTTAATAGAACATATGCTTAGTTTCCCAAAGTTTGATATGACTGGTGATTACAAGCACAAATTTAAAAGAACTTCAATGCTCTCTCTCTCTCTCTATATATATATATAGGACTAATGTTCACCAATTTGTCCTTCTTACAGTCATACTGTTTTCTGTTGGTAGTTCTTGGAAAAAGTCACAAGTCAAACACATTTTGTTTCATAAAGCAGTGTCTCTTATTTACAGTACATATAGAGATACAGTTTTTAGATTTCCTAGAAATTTTGCAGAATTCCTGGTACTTATACCTATAAAGATATTTTTCTCTGTGAGTTACTCTGCATTGTTTTGAAACAGCTTGAAGAGAGCAGACCTTTCTTGAAGAAAGCAGGATATGGTTAAATAAGTAGGAAGCAACCAGATAAACAAAGTTCTTATAAACTATGTAGGGAGTATAGGCTTGATAGGGGAATAAAGAGAGCTATTGCAACTTCTTGAATAAAGAAGTAATGAAAAATAATGAAAGTCCAATGATTACAGAGCTTCCCATCTCGCCATCCAGTTAATCTTTGAATTTTCTCCACAGTACCTCCACCAAGCAGTCATTACCTGGCATGAACATGGTCAGAAACAGAGAACTTGGATACATCTAAAGATGGCCACTTTCTCTTTGAAGCTCTTCCAGTTGTTGGAATTTCTGTATGTTTCTTTTTTACAGAACCTAACAACTTTCATCCACAAGTTTTAATTCTAACTTTATGAACCAAACAGGTACAATTTAGATCTTTTCCATTTCACAGCCAACTATTTGAACAGAGTTTACTCCCCTGGGCCTGCCTTTCCTCCAGATAACCATACTTTTCCCAGTCTCCTCAACTCTCCTTTACATGACAAGGCTTTGCAGGATTGTGCTTCATCATCTCAAATGCTTTCTCCACTCCCTAATTTGAGTCCCTCCTGAGACTAGATACCCAGATTTGAGCATAGCATTTGAGGTGGGATATAATCAGTTTAGCCAATAGAAAAATGATCCTCTTTTATGGCATTTGTCAATCAATGCAAGCTATGATTGCATTTGTCTTCCTATCACAAAGCTACAGTATAGCCTAAATACTGAGTCCTTTTACATTATGTTAATTCATTACATTTCATGCCTTCACACTCTGTTTGTGGGCCCAAAGGCAGAACCATAAATACGTTTATCCCAATTAAATTTCATCTGAGAACTGGCTGACCAAATTTTCAATCACATTTTAAATGTCATCTTCAAATCCAATACATTAGTGTTCCATATTCTCATCCAAATTATTGGGAAATAAGTTGAATTGGACACAACTCTACATCACTAATTGTGCTTCCTTGCATAACTAATTACAAATCTATATAGCAGTTTACCTGATGACAATTTCATCTACAAAACTGCCATTGGGAAGATTTCATAATTGGATTGCTGAAATTCAGATGATACTATCACTTACTACTGACTGCTGAGTTTTCTGTGTGCCTGGTATCATTTTAAATGCTTTATAGTGAATCATCTATATGTAATCCTCATAACAGCAATTATGAGGTAGGCACTGTCATTATGCTCATTTTACAACATGGACACACAATCAAATCAGAAATTTGCCTGGGGCTGGTTTTGTGGCATAGGAGGTAAAGCTGCCACCTGCAGTGCCGACATCCCATATGGGTGCCAATTAGAGTCCCGGCTGCTCCACTTCTGATCCAGCTCTCTGCTATGGCCTGGGAAAGCAGTAGAAGATGGCCCAACTCCTTCGGCCCCTGCACCCAGAAGGGAGACATGGAAGAAGCTCCTGGCTCCTGGCTTCGGATCAGCCCAGCTCCAGCCATTGCAGCCATCTGGGGAGTGGACCAATGGATGAAAGACTTCTCTCTCTCTCTGTAACTCTGCCTTTCAAATAAATAAATCTTTTTTAAAAAATGAAATTTTCCCAAGATCACATGGCTAGTAAAAGGTAGAGGACCCCATGCCTGGAAATCGTGGAACACTAGGTCCAACACTGATCTGATGTTCAGTCTAATAAAGACAAGAAAGGAAATGAAGTTGTTTTTCCATGGCTTGTCCTTAGGAAAACCATGTTCCATATGACCACTGCTTCCTTTTACAGGGGTTTGAAGAGCGATACATAAATTGAATAAATCACAACCGTTAATCTTAAAAGAAAAAAGATTTGCAGTGCCAGGTTTCTAGCTCCTCTCCCACTGGCTAGCTCCTCAAAGCTGCTGCTGACAGGGGCACAACAGGCAAAAACCCTCTGCACCTGAGCCAGCAGGCTCAGGTAGCTAAGCTAACTTTTAAAACCTTTTACAAATCTTGAGCTTCAAGTTCTTTAATCAATTCTTCTCTTCTTTCTAAAGATCATTCTCCTTGTCAGAGTACAAGTTTATCAGCTTCCTTTTCTCTTTGTTATATTTCTGTTTATTTAAAACCTCAAGCTTTTTCAAAAGGATAAATTAAGGCAGCTATGTCATCTGTTGTCATCACACTGTTCATCCATAATGACAGAGTTATCGTTCCTTATTCCTCTCTTTCCTCCAAAACTAACATGAAAAACACTTTTTTTTGTTCTTAGCATTATTCACAGGCCTCAACCCATTCTGGATCTCAGGGTTCTTGGTATAACTGCCATAGCCACATGTGACTTTTATGTTTACCTGTGAGTACATATTTCTTCTTTCATCTTCATATTGTTTTTACTTTGAAGGCAATAGATCATTCATAATTGCTTGTGAGAATCTGGGGAGTTTAAGTACATTCCACATCTCCTAAAATTTCTTCCATTTAGAATCCCAGGTTGTGTGATCAAATCTTTATTTTTTACAGACTTTTACTAACATTTTCTCTCATAAAATGTTCAACAATCCTATCACGGAATATTGTGTCAGTCATTTCTTCACAAGGTTGCTACAATTTCCTTCTCAGCTTTGTTTGTGGTTGGCCATAATTTAGACCTTTTCTTTATTAATGACCTTCTAAGAGAAGAAATGGTCAATGAAATGATGATGATTTACCAAATCCTATTCCTTTTTGCTGAATGGGACCTTCCAGAATATGTCTGAGCAGTTGAAGTCCTGAACTGCTCCTTTATGATACCTCTGTGCTAGTTCTACTTACTACTATCATTAAAAAGGTCTTCTCATTGCCTCAATTTAACTTGATACGGACTGTGTTATTCCTCATTATTGTGCCAGAGATACTAGAGACTAGCCTTATGGCCTTAAATGTCCCTATCAGGGACAAGTTCATGCATAAGAATTGATCTTGAGGTGTCAATACAAATAAATAGAAATAAGATTCTTGGTGAAATGAGTCACAGTAATACGAGTACTATTTTCTTTTTTCTTTGTTTTTTTTTTTTTTTAATTTTACAGGTAGAGATATGGACAGTGAGAGAAAGAGACAGAGAGAAAGGTCTTCCTTCCATTGGTTCACCCCACAAATGGCCGCCAAGGCCTGCGCTGCGCCGATCCGAAGCCAGGAGCCAGGTGCTTCTCCTGGTCTCCTGTGCGGGTGCAGGCACCCAAGCACTTGGGCCATCCTCCACTGCACTCCTGGGCCACAGCAGAGAGCTGGACTGGAAGAGGAGCAACCGGGACTAGTACCTGGCACCCATATGGGATGCTGGCGCTGCAGGCAGAGGATTAACCAAGTGAGCCACGGCACCGGCCCCAAGTACTATTTTCTACAGCATCCCTGGTGTGTCCCACACTATTTTACAACATTAAACTATAATTGCACAATTTCTTATTGGCACTATCTTTTCCTCCTTTCAAAATATTTCTGGTTTCAGTTTAGAGTCCTCCTAGCCAATTTTCCAAGTCTTTTTTATTAAACCATTCTGTCATAATAGACACCATCCTTAGTCATTTTTGCAATGACAGTCTTTGTTCTTGCACTTAATCAAACATCTGTTACTTGTTGTTTTGAAAGGGCAGTCTTACAAAGCGGTGAAGAATGAAGATTCTAGAATTAGACAACCCCAAAGTACTGCCTTTACCATGTAACTACATAAGCTGGGGAAGTTACGTATCTTGAACAAATTACTTAACTTCTTTACTGCTCAGTTTTTTCAATTACAAAACAAGAGTAATAATAGAGACATTGGGCCAGAGTTAAGGTTCAGTGCCTAAACCCCATCTTAGTGCTGGTTTGAGACCCAGGTGCTCCACTTCCAATCCCAGCTCTCTGCTTACACATCTGGGAAAGCAAGAGAAGGTGGCCCAAGTACTTGAGCCCCTACCACCTTTGTAGGAGACTCGGATGGAGTTCTATGCTCCTGGCTTCAGCCTGGTCCAGCCCCAGCCATTGTGATCATTTAGGGAGTGGAACAGTAAACAGCAACTCTTTCTCTATTTCTCTCTCTCTCTGTTACTTTGCCTTTAAAATAACTAAATAAATAAGTTATTATGATACTATTATAGATGTAAATATAAACATACAGCAAAGTGGCTGGCACATGGTAAATACTCAACAAATTCTAGTTAGCTTAGAAAGTACTACTTCTTTTAGTCAAAAAAACAAATAATCTTGCATAATTTCTTAATAATATTTAATAATTAGGTAAACCACAACAAACCAAAAGAATTAACATTACAGGGCTTTTCTGAGGGATGTAAATTCTTGACAGGTCACAGTGGCTAAGCCACTGTCCAGAAAATCCATTTTTTTTTTTAAGATTTTATATATTTATTTGAGAGGTAGAGTTACAGGCAGTGGGAGGAGTAGACAGAGAGAAACATCTTCCATCTGTTGGTTCACTCCTCAAATGGCCACAATGGCTGGAGCTGCGCTGATCCAAAGCCAGGAGCCAAGAGCTTCCTCTGGGTCTCCCACGTAGGTGCAGGGGCCCAAAGACTTGGGCCATCTTCTACTACTTTCTCAGGCCACAGCAGAGAGCTGGATTGGAAGAGGAGTAACCGGGACTAGAACCAGTGCCCATATGGGATGCCAGCACTGCAGGTGGAGGATTAACCTACTGCGCCATGGCACTGGCCCCAGAAAATCCATTTCACTCAACACATTTAATGTGTAATTATTTAGAATTTTTTTTTTGACAGGCAGAGTGGACAGTGAGAGAGAGAGAGAGAGAAAGAGAGAGAAAGGTCTTCCTTTGCCGTTGGGTCACCCTCCAATGGCCACCGCGGCCAGCACACCGCGCTGATCCGATGGCAGGAGCCAGGTACTTATCCTGGTCTCCCATGGGGTGCAGCGCCCAAGCACTTGGGCCATCCTCCACTGCACTCCCTGGCCACAGCAGAGAGCTGGACTGGAAGAGGGGCAACCGGGACAGAATCTGGCACCCCGACTGGGACTAGAACCCGGTGTGCCGGCGCCACAAGGCGGAGGATTAGCCTAGTGAGCCACGGCGCCTGCCCTAATTATTTAGAATTTATATCCACATGTTATTGCCAGTGTTCTAATGTTGAGATGGAAGGATAACTGAAACCTCTGTGCCCACCAGCCTAAAAATTTTTCATCAAGGAGCCATTGCCTTTAAAAATGCTTAGAAGCCTAACATACAGAATTCACCTGGGGTAGTTAACAATGAAAGGGTTCACCTGGCTTGGCATTAGCAGGCTTTACTTCATGCCCCAAGTCCATGCTGCAGAAAGACAGTATGATGGGGTAGGTCACTAATCATAGAATAAGTCTTTTCTCCCCAAAAGCAGTGGTAGATGTTTCTCTGGCCAACTATTACTGGTGAATCTTATTACCTAATATTCCTGGAAAATCAATAGGCTGGTGTCAGATAGGATGAAACTAATGAAGTAGGGCTTTAGAAATTAAGAAAAACTAGGGGACAACATCACTGACCCGTAATACATAAGTTCTCCAGGACCTAGAATAGGATGGAAGTAACTGGACAAAAAAAAAAAAATATATATATATATATATAAGCAATAGGTTAGGGAAGAATCTGGACAATTAGAGACTGATTATACGTGAAAGGCAAGGGACAGGGTAGGGCACAGATAAATCTCAGTTTTAGCAATGGGCATCTAGTCTTGGACAAAAGTTGAAGAACAGGTAATGGCCAGTTGACTTGGGTGAAGCACAGAAGAAACATAACTATCAGTGGGGAGAGAGGAAGCCTGAAAGCGGAGGATTGACCTTGAAGGCTGTTGACCCAAGGAGGGCTAGCCTCCTGAATCCGTCAGGGAGAGGATCCCTGGTGGTGATCAGGATAATATACTGTGGTTCAGGGAAAGGAGACTTTTTCAAGAATCCCAATAGTAACATAAATTTTAAAAATAAATGTATTTCTTTAAATCAAAAAGAGATTTGACTTCAAAGTATTAAAAGTAGAAGGGCTGACAGGCAAATATGGTAAAAATTATGAAAATTATTTAAAAATGATAAAATGAACCTAGGAAACATTCTCACAACAGGAAAAGACTCAAGCATTAGGATAAACATAAATGGAACTAAGTTAGAAAAACTATAAAGTTCCTTAGTCCTGGTCCCTGGACTACACTTCCTGACTCCCTCAAAACAGTAACTGGAAGACCCTTGGTCAATTTCAGAATAATCTGAGATTGTTCTTTCCTTAGTAAAAGGGCTTAGAACTTAAAAGAAAAAAAAGGAAGTTGAATATCATTAATGATGACACATATATTAGTATAAGATGTTAATAGGTAAAAGGAGGTGAGAGGTAGACAAGAACTCTTTGTATTACTACCTCAGAACTTTTGTTTTGGAAAGTTAAAACCTTTCTAAAATATAATGTTTTTAAAAAGGTGGAAAAAAACTTTTTAAACATCAGCCTTGGGGCCAGCACTGTGGTGCAGCAGGTTAAAGCCCTGGCCTGAAGTGCCGGCATCCCATATGGGCACCGGTTCTAGTCCTGGCTGCTCCTCTTCCGGTCCAGCTCTCTGCTATGGCCTGGGAAAGCAGTGGGAGATGGCTCAAGTCCTTGGGCCCCTGCACCCACGTGGGAGACCCGGAAGAAGCTCCTGGCTCCTGGCTTCAGATCGGCGCGGCTCCGGCCGTTGCGGCCATCTGGTGAGTGAACCAGCAGATGGAAGACCTCTCTCTCTGTCTCTACCTCTCTCTGTAACTCTTTCAAATAAATAAATAAATCTTTTTTAAAAAAATCAGCCTTGTCTTTCCAGAGTTGCAATGAGAAATGAGACTTTTTGAAAGCCCTCAAAAAATACATAGGTTCTATTTTCCTACATGGGCACTTTGTACTAGTAAGACCCCTTCTTCAGAGTGAACTCCCTGCCCCACACCTTGGTCCTTGCCTGGGCCATTTCTTTAACTCTGTTTCCAACATAAATCACTTTGTACCTTTAAAGACAGCTGTTTGCCTACTTTTGAATCTTTTGTGGGTTGCTCATCTTCTAGAGGTCTACTTGTTTTCTCAGCAACCTGGACCTCTGACATTTCCGGAGATTTAAATACGATGCTTTCTGCTTCTGATTCTCCCCATTCTGACACATTGCCCTGCTCCATCTGGAAAATGCTTGACGTAGCTTCAGGAAGTTCCTTGAGCACACCCTGTTGGAGAAAGCAAACATACAAGAATTCACTTTTTATTGGCCCTTCCATTGTTTTCAGTTAGGGAGCACTTACTGTCTGGCAGCAAATACATATTATATATAACATTTATTTATATATATTTATACATGTGTATACATGTATATAGATATACACACATATACATATACATACACATATATATGAAAATATGCTTGAAATTGAGCAAATGTATGGTTGAAATTGAAATTTCCATTGAAGACTTAGAAAGAAAAATTCAAACTGACCTAAGAAAAACATGAGCACTGGTAAACTGTTTTCCTTGTACCTTGTATCAGAAAATATAGCTACTCCAAAGTTGTTATACATAAACCAATGCAGTAAAAGGACCCCAATCTTCCGTGGATGCTGCCCCATGCTTACGCAGACATGCTGGTGCACAATGAATGAAAACTCACCTGCATGTTCTCACTTCCATTACCTCAGCTTGGCCCTTGGGTTAACTCTGGGTCCAGTGACACATCAAGGCTCTGCCCAGACCTAACGTTCTGTGCTCTGAGAAAAGGGATTCCTGCTGAGCCAGCTTCTCCTCCTAGGTCCTGACTTCACTTCCTTGGAGAGGAGCTGACCCAGAGGCCCACACACTTCAACTCCATCCCTGACCCAAATGAAAAATGTTCAAACATCATTACTAAACCTGTTTTCACACTCCTTAAAAATATCCCATCAACTTTTATTTGTATCCTTACAAGTCTTAAGGAAATTATATTTACAGCCATATTGGGTCATTACCCAATTTTAATCCACAAAGATTATTTAGAATTTTGGAATACTGGCATTGAACAGCCCTAGCTTTTGTTCTTATTTATGTTTTTTGTTTCTAGGGTTTTTTTCCTTGTTTTGATTTTTCTCTTTCTCTCTTTTTTTTTCTCCCTCATACAAAATGCTGAACTCTTTACCTAGAATATAGTTAATCTTCTGTGTATGAAGTTAAATGAAAATAGAGCTTAGTAAAAACAAGACTGGGAACAAAAGAGGGAAGGAGAAGGGAGGTAGGAGTGTGGGTGAAAGGGTGGGTATGGTGGGAAGAATTACTATGTTCCTAAAGTTGTATTTATGAAATGTATGCAAATAAAAATAAATAATAAATTAGGAAAAAAGAATATTCCATAAATAGTAGTGCACTGGTCTACTCTAAATAACTGTTTGCTCTATATTTGTTTCAACTACACCTAAAACATTGCCTGGTACATAACAGGAAAGGGAATGAAGGAATAAATTCCCTTTTTTTTTTGCACATGAGCACATGGGCAAATCAGTCACCGTGAAACTGTTCGGAAACGGTTATATTCAAAACAGTGGGTAGACAAAAGGAACAGATGAGCTCTGGCCTGGGATGCTAAGCTGCTCACTGGCAGCATGCCCAGCGAAGGGCAGCCCTCCCAGGACAGCGGTGATGCGGCACAGTGCTGCCAGGTAAGGTTCACCCAGGAGCTACCACGGGAAGGATGGATAGAGTTCTACTCTCTGGCACTGAGTAGGCACCCATAGAAACATGTCTGGAATAAAGGATACCATGGAGAAATGTGTGCACAATGACCAGGTACCAAGTTAAGAAATATTTTACTTCTAAAAGAGTGGAAAACCTCCTCATCAAAAGCCAGTGGCCAGGGAAAGGTTCTAAACATTAAAATTGAGGGAATTCCAGTAGAATTATAAATAAATGGGTATTTTTATGTAAATATTTATTTCAAGTAATGAAGGTGATCTAAACTAGGCTCCTTTTCAGAGTTTCCTTCAAAACAGTATCTTTCTCTACACTTTACATGAATGTCCTGAATGGTATTAAATCAAGTTCATTCTATTAACGAAGATTTCTACTTTGCTAAGACCACATGATCTTGTATTTTCATCTTATTCTACCTTTTAGTGACTTAGGAATCAGAGGTTTTGATATCTACCTGTAACTGGTGTCACCTTGAGGCAGCTATCTATGATAGCCATCTGAAGCCCTGAAGTGTATATGGTAAGGTCTGGCGATAATTGATCTACACACCATTGCCAAGTCGCTACTAGTGCTACCAAATGCTGCATCCTGAGGCGGGAGTAAGGACACAAAGCGGGGAAAGTCAGGGTCTCAACTATGTGCATCTCACGCTCTAGTAGTTCTGTCATTTGTGGCAGCTCTAATGTGGTTTTCACAAACAAAAAAGATCGCACATAATTTCTTAACATGATACTTGCATATTATCCTAAAAACAAAGTATAACCTAGAGTTTCATGTATGTGGGGTTACATTTTCAGGAACTAAAGAAGCTTGCTATTTAATGATATCATTCTATATGAATCTTTTGTAAAGAAATGTGTCAACAGAGCATAAATTTTTTTCTTATAAATATAGATCGCAATACCCAGGATGACACTTCCAATTCATGCAGAACATGTCCCAGATTTCTTTGGATCCCACAATTATTTTGCCAATGATGAATAAAAAAGATTTCTTTTTTTTAAGAGTTATTTATTTATTTGAAGGCAGAGTTACAAAGAGGCAGAGAGAGAGAGAGAAAGAGAGAGAGAGAGATCTTCCATCTGCTGGTTCACTTCCCAAATGGCTGCAATGGCTGGAGCTCGGTCAATCCGAAGCCAGGAGCCAGGAGCTTCTTCCAGGTCTCCCACGTGGGTGCAGGGACCCAAGCACTTGGGCCATCTTCTGTTGTTTCCCACACCATAGTTGAGAGCTGAATCAGAAGAGGAACAGCCGGGTCTCGAACCAGCGTCCATATGGGATGCTGGCACTGCAGATGATGGCTTTATCTGCTATGCAACAGCACCAGCTCCAAAAAGATTTATTTCTAAAACAAACTTCTGTCACCAATTGTCTGTATTTTTCCAAAAAATTTTCCCCTTGATGCTTTTAACAACTGCTCTAAGTACAGATTAAAGTGATGCTTTCTTAAAAGCTAGTAACTTATTTATCCAACAGCCTTCTAGATCTGAATGTCTCTCAACCAAAAGAGCTGTTAGAATGTCACCCTTCTGAAAAGGGTTTTGGGCCTTGGCTCAGAAGGTCTATGGTAGACAGTAGCAATGCACCAAAATAGCCAGGCCTCCTAAAGTGGTGTTGGAGTAAATGTGCTAAAACAGACAACAGGAAATATTTTTGGGAGCCAGTGCTGGTGGCATAGCAGGCAAAGCTGCCACCTACAGTGCCAACATCGCAATATGAAGATGATGCTCAAATGGGATAAAGGCCCTAACTTTATGTCCTCTTTTAATCTTGATCACTTCTTTAGAGGCCTTATCTCCGAAACAGCTTTAGGGGTTTAGAGCTTTGACAGAAGAATTTGGAGGCAGGGGCCAGCACTGGGGCATAGTAGGCTAAAACTCCACCTCCCCACGCCAGCATCCCATATAGGCTAGTTCATGTCCAGCTGCTACTATTCCAATCCAGCTCTCTGCTATGGCCTGGGAAAGCAGTGGAAGATGGCCCAAGACCTTGGGCCCCTGTATCCACATGGGAGACCCAGAAGAAGCTTCTGGCTCCTGGCTTCAGATCAGCCCAGTTGTGGTTGTTGCAGCCATTTGGGGAGTGAACTGGCATAGAAGACCTCTCTCTGTCTCTCTCTGCCTCTGCCTCTCTGTAATTCTGCCCTTCAAATAAATAAATCTTTTTTTAAAAAAGAAATATTTTTGAAATTCCTATATAAACATTCAAGCAACAAGAAGCAAATTATTACAATATAGGCAAACAGGATTCTTATTAAAGACTTTACCATTTGAGATTCCTCAACAACTCTCTCTAATCCTTGCTCTGCTTGCGTGTGAAGTATTTCTGCTTGCGTCTGAGGTGTTTTGAGATGTGCTTTTCCCATTAAAGTCATATCCTTGAAGGGGGAAAAGGAAACAAATGAAGTAAGTTCGACTGTAAAAATCATTGAAGTACACTATTCAATATACCAAAATACTATTCAATTAAATCAATAAATGAGAAATATATGAGAGATAAGAGCTAGTCAAAAACATGCAGTAAATGGGAAGTAAACAAAAAGACATAAAATATTTTTGTCTATTCTTTCAATTCCATGGCATCTTAAATTATTGATCTTGATATTATATTTAATAAGACAATTAGATGATAATAAATAAGATAATGAATAACATGACACAATAAAGATAAAATCAAAACTAAAATTTAATCTAGGGCAATTGTTGGGTACAATGGATACAAGACCATTTGAGATGCCCACATCTTATATTGAACACAGTGAAGAGACAACCAACAGAATGAGAAAAAATATTTGCAAACTACCTGTCCAACACTACCACATTTATTACAGCACTATTCACAATAGCAAAGATATGGAATCAGCTAAGATGTCCATCATCAGATGAATGGATAAAGAAACTCTGGTTTATATACACAATGGAATACTTTTTGACCATAAAAAAGAATAAAACCCTGTCGTTTGCAACCAAATGGATGGAACTGGAAGACATCATGTTAAATGAAATCAGCCAGATAAATAAAGACAAATACTTCATGTTCTCCCTCATACACAGAGCTAAAACAAAACAAATAAAACAAAGCCCTCTATCTGAACACGGAATGGTGATTACAAGAGGCATAAAGGGTTGGAGCAGATAGGAGTTGGAATAATGAGAAGTCAAAGTTAGATCAAAGGAATGAGTTCCCAGTGTTACACTGCATAGTGGGGTGACTGTAGTTCACAATGACTTACTATGTATTGTCTGAACAAATAGAAGAAAGAAGCTCCAAGCCTCCAATCATAAAGTAATGTCAAAGAAGGGGAAATGTTGATTACACAGCATTCATCAATACACACTGTATACATGTATTGCTATATCACAAATAGCCTATAAATGTATTTAATTATATGCATAATTACTGCTAATAAAAAGTTTTTTTAAAGATTTAATTTTTATTTACTTGAAAGGCAGAGCTAGAGAGAGAGAGAGAGAGATCTTCCATCTGCTGGTTCACCGCTGAAATGTCCTCAACGGCCAGTGCTATGCCAGGCTGAAGCCAGGAGCCTGGAGCTTCTTCCAGGACTCCCATGTGGGTGCAAGGGCCCAAGTACTTGGACCATCTTCCACTGCTTTCCCAGGTGCATTATCAGGGAGCTGGATTGGAAGTGGATTATCTGTGACTCGAACTGGTGCCAATATGAGATGCCAGCATGGCAGGCAGCAACTTAACCTGCTACACCACAGTGCTAGCCTCAATAAAAATTTTTTCCATGGTAAATGTAAAGAAAAGAAATGACATCAAAAGCATAAGGAACAAAAGAAAACCTAGATAAGTTAGAACTTAATTTAAAATAAACAAAATTTGAGGGCTGGTATTGTGGCATAACAGCATAAGCAGCAATGTCAGCATCCCATATGAGTGTCGGTTCAAGTCCCAGCTGCTCCACTTCTGATCCAGTTCCCCGCTAATGTGCCTGGGAAAGCAGTGGAGGATGGCCTGAGTATTTGGACCTCTGCACCCATGTGGGAGATCCAGAAGCTCCTGGCTCCTGGCTTTGGCCTGGCCCAGACTTGGCCGTTGTAGCCATTTGTGGAATGAACCAGTGGGTGGAAGATCTCAATGTCTGTCTCTGTCTCTGTCTCTGCCTTTCTTTCTGTAACTCTTCCAAATAAATAAATAAATCTAAAATAAATAAAAATTTAAATGTCAGTGCACCAAAGGGCACAATCTAAAAATAGGGTAGGTAAATGGCACTCAAAATGCCAGGTAAAATGTCCAGCTCCCAGTTTGGAGTGGTTGGACTTGATTCCTGATTCTAGTTTCCATTTAATGTGGATCCTAGGAGGCAGTAGGTGAGGGTTCAAGCAGCTGGGTTCCTGCCACTTATGTGGGAGACCCAGACTGAGCACCTGGCTTTGGCCCCCGACATACTGCAGGCATTATGGAGTGCACCAACAAATGGCAGTCAGCCTCTCTCTCTCCCTCTCCCTCTCCTCCCTCCTCCCTCCCTCCATCCCCCATATTTTCTAACTGCCCTTCTCCTTCTCCCTTCTTCCCTGAAACTCAAATTACAAAGAAAAGTAAGTAAAAATGCATCCTACAGAATGGGAAAAAGTAGTGGCAAATCATTTACCACATATACGTAAGACTATATTGTTAAAACTCTTAGAACTTGGACGGCGCCGCGGCTCACTAGGCTAATCCTCCGCCTGCGGCACCAGCACCCAGGGTTCTAGTCCTGGTCGGGGCACCGGATTCTGTCCTGGTTGCTCCTCTTCCAGTCCAGCTCACTGCTGTGGCCCAGGAAGGCAGTGGAGGATGGCCCAAGTGCTTGGGCCCTGCACCCCATGGGAGACCAGGAGGAAGCACCTGGCTCCTGGCTTCGGATCGAGGCAGCGCGCTGGCTGTGGCAGCCACTTTGGGGGTGAACCAACGGAAAGGAAGACCATTCTCTCTCTCTCTCTCACTGTCTAACTCTGCCTGTCAAAAATAAAAATAAAGATTAAAAAAACTCTTAGAACTCAGCACAAATACAAATTAAAATATGCAAAAGAACCCTGGCTTTGAAGTTAATGATACTTGGCAATAACACTAATTTTTAAGGTTGGAAAAGAGGAAGGATGGTTCAGAGAAGTGGCCTGATTATTCAGTTTAAGAATTTCCCTCAGTCTGTTAGCTTGCAGTTACCACATGACCCAGCAATTGCACCTTAAGGGATATTGCATGCCCAAAAGAACTGAAAGCAGGTATTCAGATAATTGAATATCAATGTCTATAGCAACATTACTCACAATGGACAAAAGGTGAATGTAACACAAATGTTCATTAATTGATGAAAAACAAAAATGGTATACCCCTTTAATGGATTATACCAGTTAACAACCACCAAAAAGTGAAACACTTATACATACTACAGTATGGATGAATCTTGAAAACATCTATTGCTATCCCAGGCCATAGCAGAGAGCTGGATTGGAAGAGGAGGAGCAGCTGGGACTAGAACCGCCGGCCACATGGGATGCGGGCGCTTCAGGCTAGGGCTTTAACCTGCTGCGCCACAGTGCCGGCCCCTCATGCCCTACTTTTGATTTCAAATTTTGACTCAGTCGCTGTAATGTTGAGTAAATTACTTAATCACTCTGTGTCTCAGTTTTCTAAAATATGGATAATAATAGCACAGACCATATGTTTATTATGAGAATCAAATATAAAACATATAATCCCAGTTGTTATTCTCATTAAAATAAAAAGCAAAATAAAGATGCCTATTGTCACCATCATAATTTGAGATGATACTGGAAATTCTTTATGTGAAATAAACAAACATAAGAGGGTACTTTAACAAGTTCCTAGAAAATAGAATTAAAAGATAAATTCAGGGACAGGTGTTTGGTGAGTGGTTACGACACGGCTTAGCACACCTGCATCCCTTTTCGGAGTGCTTGGTTTCAGTCCTGACTCTTTCACTTCTGATCCGGCTTCCTGCTAAAGTGGACCTTGAGAGGAGCAGTGACGACTCAGGTGTTTGGATCTCTGAGACCCATGTGGATGACCTTAATTGAGTTCCAGCCTCCTGGCTTTGGCCTGGTCCAGTCCCAGCCATTGCAGCCATTGGGGAATGAATTAGCAGAAGATTCTGACTCGCTCTCGCTCGCTCGCTCTCTCTCTCTTCCTCTCTCTCATTCTCTCTCTCTCCCTCTCTGAAAAGGTAAGTTTATTTGGTACAAAAGAATTTTGAAATCTATGTCCTGTTTTTTCATAAAACTCATAAGAAATGAATTAACCACATCTCTGTTATTTGAAGAAATTGTGACTATACGCTTAGAAACCCTCACAATAAGTTATGGAAAAACTACTACAAAATCAGGTTAGACAGAAATTCAAGTCCCAAAAGACAATTTTTTTAATATTGTACTTACTTATCTGAGAATAGAGTTACAGACAGAGAGAGGGAGACAGAGAGAGAAAGGTCTTCCATCTGCTGGTTCACTCCCCAAATATCCCCAACGGCAGGAGATGGGTCAGTCCAAAGCCAAGAGCGAGGAGCTTCTTCTAGGTCTCCCATGCAGGTACAGGGGCCCAAGCACTTGGGCCACCCTCCACTGCTTTCCCAGGATATAGCAGAGAGCTGGATTAGAAGAGGAGCAGCCAGGACACAAACCGGTGCCCACACGGGATGCTGGCGCCGCAAGCAGGGGATGAACCTACTGCACCACAGTTATGGCCCCAACGAATTTTGAAATTTGAAAATGAAAAAGGTAATAAAATTACAAAAAGCAACAAAAAATATAAACTAACAAAACAGTGCCTTAATAAATATGAGGGGAAAGCAGACAAATTTTAGTCTAGCAGTTAGGATTCCTACATTCCATGTCAGAGTACCTGGGCTCAATTTTCAGCTTCAGCCCCTGTCTCCAGCTTCCTGCTAAGGCAGACCTTCCTGCTGGGGGGTGGGGGGGGCCTCTTGTAGTTGAGTCCCTGCCACTCACATGGGAAATCTGAAGTGAGTTCTTGGCTCCTGGCTTTGGCCCCAGACCAGCCCTGGCCATTCCAGGTATTTGGTGAGTGAACCAGCAGATGGGAGTGCTCTCCCTCACCCTGCTCTGTGTGTGTGTGTGTGTGCATGTGTGTATGTGTGTCTTCTGAAGTCTGCCTCTCAAAGCAAATAATTTTTAAATGTGAGAAAAAAAATTATAAAATCACTGAGACACATATTAGAAATCTTGGATTTGGGACAAAGAAAATAGAAACTTTTTATAAGAAAAACAGAGTTCATATTTTGTCCAATGTGCATTAACTCCATGCTATCTCCCTGAGTCACAGAAAATAACTAGTAATGCAGTGTTTCATCTTACAAAGTGTGGAACAATTTTTTTTAAACTCCACAGATAATTT